CACATGGACGACTGCAATCGGACGTAAAGAAAGAGGCAAACTGTACTCAGCTCTTGGCTGCAAAACTTCATGGCTGTGTTTACGCTGTCTCTTTGGTCCCGATCCATTCTTGTAAATTTGCCTCTCAGAGGGCAATATGACAGATCAGACAGTAGTTATTAACCACTGTACTGAATCTACTGTACAGATCTGTATTACTGTAGCACGGCTTACTTTACAGTAAACATTTGCTTTCACACTCAGACTTTACTGCACAGTGGGAGTCTGAAACTCAAAGTCCCTGGTCAGTGGGCAGGTTGTTTACATAGAGCTTTAGCTGGACTGCCTCTGCTGAAACTTTCTGTACTCCACATCAAGTTTAGAAAAACATTTTTAGAGTTTGTTTATTTTTGTTTTTCCAGTGTTTAGATGCTTTCTTTACTCCGCCTATACTGTACAGTTTCCTTATTTTTTTTAAACTTATGTGTTTTAAGTGATAGTGGTCTGAGAGAAAAACATATTTAAGTTTTATCATAATTGTACAGGCAAGAAGGTGAAAAGACATTAAAGCTTTTGACTTGATAACAGTGAGGAAATCCTCTAAAAGCGGATGGTCGAAATCTCCTCTCTTTCCTCTCTCCTGTCTTACACTACACCATGAAGTGGTAAGCTCCATCCAAACTGCTTCATGGTACCGTTGGCTTAGAAAACATTCATCCTCCTTTCTGGCATTTTTCCCTCCTGACCTGAGATTGAACTCAAACGTGGAGGATTTAATCTTATTTTACTGCTGAAACAGAAGTTAAGTTTGCTGCTGGTTTTTCAACATTTGCTACTGTAACGTGCAACCAGCACTACTGTACTGCAGCTGCTCTCACCTCTCCTCATTCTCTGGAGAATTCAGGTCACCACCTCAACGACTTTGTTCGTGAAACCTGCCAGGAGCAAATTCAGAGAATGACACCAGCTGAGTCAACTGCAGGGGATTACATTAGAAATAAGTTGGCTTCTTATACTGTTCTTCTCCTTGCTCTTCTTTTTGTCATATCACCGTCTGTTACTTTTGTTGATGCAACTTGTAACATTTTGTTTCACCCTCTGTCCCTTGTGATATTAAGAACATTTCAGTCGTAACAACTTTAATAGTAAAAGTTGATATGTGCAAGTTTAGTGATAAGTACTGTAAAGCAAAACATTTTGTTCTTATTCTTTGGGACTGCTAAAAGAGGCAAAGGAATCAATAATACACCAGCACAGACAAGGATATTTGTGAAATTGTTACAGTCTGAGGCCCTGGGCACAGACATACAAAAGGCCTCCATCCAAACGTATCAGCACTTCAGTGTTTTGGGTCTTTTTCAGCAATTTTTACAGGCAGACAGCAACGTCTGTGGGCTGTTTGGCTCCCAACTGCAACAGCATAGCATTTGGGAATTTGCCACCATGCCAAACTGACAAAAATTAACATAATTACTGAAAAAAAGTTGAAGTTGAAATAGATCAAACTGACAACCATACAATGCACCTATGTAATTGTTACAATCAGTCCAATCACCAGAATATATGACATGGATATGCTGAATTTAGCGTTTCTCTACATTACACTGTTCAGTTTCATGTTGTGACAATGCTGTGGTTAACGCGTGATTAGGTTTAGGCCAAAACATTCTCACTCCGACCTCGTCCCATATTGACGTTTTGGTCATGGACTTTCCACGTCCACATACGACATGCAAGGTACCCAGGGTGCTTGAGTTGTTGACGTTCTGGGACACCGTGTCGAGTTCTGTATGTTACATGCATTGTCTTCTTTCAAAATAAACTTCCATTTTCACAGGAAAGTTACTGTTTGCATACAGTCTCTTTCAAAATAAAACCACTACGTCGGTACAACACTGCAAATTGACTTTTTTTTTTTTTTCTTCAACACACAATGTTGGGTTTAAGCAACAAAAGGAAGTGGTAAGGTTTAGGAAAAAAGAACAGGGTTTGGCTTTATCTTACAGGACCAAACACCGCTCTGTCTGGGTAAAAGTCAGTGTTTGTTGGACACATCTGTCACCCCTCCTGCCCGCCCCACTCAGACTTTCACCGCCTTAATTTTAGTCCGTGTCCCGCTGCATTTCCCCCTGATGCTCACCATGTGTTAAACTATAACATTAAACTATAACGACGACCAGCCGTGTATCATGCTGACGTTAAAAGACAGCTTTCTTAGTAGGTGTCTGATGCCGTAAGTCACTGCCCAAGCACCAGATTTCAGTGACTTCAGAGTGAGACCGGGCTCTGTAGGCACAAAAACAACTTGATAAGGGTTAAGGTTAGGGTTAGGAAAACAATTAGTTTGGGCTTAAAATACCCAGTTTTTGGGGCGTCAGTGGCTTAGTGGTAGAGCAGGCGCCCCATGTACAAGGCTGCTGCTACAGCAGCCCGGGTTCGACTCCAGCCTGTGGCCCTTTGTTGCATGTCACTCCCTCTCTCTTCCCCCCCTTCACGCTTGTCTGTCCTATCATTTAAAGGCTAAAAATACCCCCAAAAAATATCTTTAAAAAACAAAAAAATACCCAGTTTTATTGACAAAATCGTGGCTGAATATGTGTCAAACAAAATGCTCGCTTTTATTGCTGCAGACACTGCTGGTCATGACCTGATCTGTCGTTAAACCTCCTCACTATGGTCGGTCTACAGTAGTCTACCAACCTCGTCGCCAGAACAAAATGTTGGCATTATACATTTCTGCAAACCACAAATACATGACATTTGTACATTTCTTAAAGAATGCAGTGTATGAGTTAACTTTGTCAGGAGGTGGAGGGGATGGTGAAGTCTGGCTTGATGGCTGCCAAGCTGCAAACCATGTTGTTTTTTAAAGCGAGTCCTTGCTGTGTTTCCATCAGCTCTTTAGGCTCCAAACATGGGAGTTTTGTGGCGACCCATCGGTGGGAATAGAGCCGCAAAAAACGACTGTTTTTTTCCAAGACATCACAGCTTTTCCTGCTGGTATAGTGGCACAAATAAACTGGGTATTTCAAGCCAAAACATGATCTTTTCCTAACCATAACCAAGTGCTTTTTGTGGCTAGACCAAGCCACATGTTAACTACAGCATTTTTGAGTTGTTAAGTTTCAACATAACCACAACATAATAATGTGCAAATGTACTGATCATAGTTTGCAGAAATGTACAATGCCAACATTTGTGTCTCACCGTTGCCGGCTGCTGGGGGAGAAAATAGTTACCGGTGAGTCGAGTCTGCTGCTGGCGGGGAGGCAGAGCTGACCATGGTACCTCAAGACGCTTGGCCACTCGGCTGTACAAGTCAATCAAAGCCGGGGTGGTGCTGTCCGGTTCTGCTGGCAAATCTCCCGATCCAAGGACCTGGCTGTGATCAGCATCCTCTTCGCCCTCTCCCTCCGCTTCGCCCTCCGTGAAGCCGCCCGAAGCGGCTAGAGAGAGCTCATCGTCGGAGGGCACACACAGCGGCGCGTTATCCAGCGTGACGGTGAAATCAAAGGCATCCTCCTCCAAGCCCACGTAGTCGGTGGTAGGGAGTATCTTGTCGGCTAGTTAGCAAGCTAAACACGCACGTCGAAATTGGTATTTGTTAGCACCGCTAAACAAATAACGATTAGCCAGGCTAAACGAGAGAGCAGCAAGTTAGCATGCTAAACAAGCACAACGCAGAAACAGCCTTGATAGCGACACCCTGGGTAGGGAGCGAGCTCACCTCCTCTGGACAGTTAAATCGCTCGCAAGTGTTCTGCAACACTCAGGTTATGTGAGGTGAAGTGCAATAAGATTGAGGAAATGAGACTGTGCAGGGTATTTTATAGCCCCAAGGGAGTGCGGGACTTCCCCCGCCTGTGACAGTCTCATTGGCCTTGACAGGCATGTTGAAAAAGTTTCTTCAGGTTGGTCTCGCGAGGACGCAATCCCCATACTAATGTGTTGTACCGAGTGTACCGACCGAAAGGGAACCACAACATAATAATGTGCAAATGTACTGATCATGGTTTGCAGAAATGTACAATGCCAACATTTTATTCTGGCGACTGGGCTGTTATATAGCAGACTCCTGTGTTTCTGTGTTGATGAATATTGAGGATATCAATAATTGGAATGTGCAGTAGAGAAAAATACTTCCAGAGCCCAGGGTTTTCTCCCCGTGCTTATCCAACTTGCAATAACTGTCTTATAAATAAACCAATCAACAGAATACTCTCAATGAACATATGACGCATATAGCTTACATATAAATACTTACTTAGACCCAGACCACTAGAACAGATGATGGACGTCATGCACTGAATCTGTGCATATAAACAGAACCTGTAACAAAAGCTCACAATCCCCCAGCTGAATACACTCTGTGATATCAATGACTACCTTCCCTGTGGAGAAAATATCATGTATTTTATCCACAACTGCCTTGGTGACAGGAAGTCTACAGAGACCTCCTCTGCAGGTCTGAATCTACAGAAGCATTTTGACACCTTTGCTGCTTGCTGTAAAGATCAGCTCGTGGCTCTGAGTGGTTTTGTCAAGATGTGAAGAGGAGTGGGCTGATTTTTAATCCTTATACAGAAATTTATAAGCTGTCACAGCATGCAGGTGGGCTGTAGTGTCAGATCCACTCAATTTATACTCATGGTGGTGGTCCTTGGAGTGTGTTCCTGCTTGTGTATCTTTGTGAGGACCAATCTGAGTGTTAGACATTAAAGGGCCATTTGTGGATGTTACGCCTCTGACAAGGGTGGAGGAGCACAAAATAAAGGTTAAAATGTCGTTCTACCCACTCTCTCTTCTAAGAAAGAAAAAGAAAATCTAAGAAAATGGAACAAAGTCAAATTTACTACTGAAGATCAAAATAAAAAGAAAGAAACAAAAATATTGGTGTTTTCACATCTTTAACGTCTTTCTTATCTTGATTTACATCCTTTGTTTTATCAGAATTTTCCCTCCTACACTCATCCAAACATCAAGTAGAGACAGATTTCTGTTGTGCTTCTGTCTCCTCCCAGGCTGGAGTCTCCCACTCGCTCCCTGCTGATGGAGGCTCCTAAAGGCATCCAGATCCTGGCTGAGGCTGGAGACATCCAGGCCATCTGCAGGAACGAGCTGCGACTGGAGTCCAAAGATGGAGAGGTTTGTCAACCAGCAGGGCAAATTAACTGTCTGAAGGACTGCACCAAAGCAAGAAAATACGAGCTTATTCAAGTTTATCACAACTTAGGTTTTATCGTTTGCTCATAATAACGTTGTACTGACCAAGTTATCACTGAAGGGTCACTAGACACAAACAGTCAGAATAAACAGACATTTTGGAAACATGAGAGCTGATTCAAAAACTGCCAAATAATATACATAACCACTGGACATAAATTAGTCACAATCTCTGAATGATATAAATGAAATTTGCTAAAGATTCAGATTTGAACAAGAACTCATGTTTTCTTTTATCATTTACCTCTTACCATCTTATCAATCAGTCTTCTCTTTCGTCTTTTTGGTTGTAATCATCTCATTTTGAAACAAAAAATTTAAAGAGGTTCACTCCAAAATAAAAAAAAATCTTCCCTTAAAAAATGTGATACTTAGTCTGTCACTACAGCTTATCACTTTTTTTATGAAAAATTCCCCTCCCAAGGAAGACGTTTTAAAACATCAGAGTTGTAAAATAATAAAAAGTAATTATAGCTGCTGCGCAGCGATGGGTGGGGTTCGGGCATCTTTAGGCAATTCTGAGCAACAAGCAGAAGAATTGGAAGACATTTAGGAATTTAGCAACACAATCTGCCTTTTGCATCAGCTGAGGCTTGAACTCACAACCTCTGAGACTAAGGATCAAGTTCTATCTCACTGAGCTAATTAGTCAGTGACAATTCATGTGTAGCTTCACAAATTGACTAAGCCAGACGTGCAGGTTTAGCAGCCGTCCATGCATGGAAAAGCAGATTTCAAACCACTGTAAAAAATTCAGTTATCTAAACAAAAATCTGAAAATACACATATTGCATCTAGACAGCATGGAGATGTTGGTAATTTGTTTGTAACAATGATTGATTTGCTCCATAAGTGAAAAACTGATGTTTAAAATTGCCATTTTTACATTGACTCCAATTGTTCACATTAGAGCAAAATTCAAAATGCTGTCAAAAATTCAGTTTTTGAGATAAAATTCTGAAATTTGCCACACATCATCTACCATGACTCTAGAATTTTGTCATTTTTTCATGAACATTGAAGAATTATTTAGCAAGAATTTGCATGTATATGTTTACAGTACCGTTTACAGTCAAACATTTTGATGCACTGTAGGCTCAATTTTTGATAAATCAAAAATCTGAGAAACGTAGTTTTTGTAGGACAGTCTGAAGATGCTCTGTAGCAAGTTTGGTGTCAATTGAGCAAAAATTGTGGGAGGAGATAGGTTTAAGATGTTTTACAGTTTTTGAAAAAAACAGAGCGATGAACTTCATAATTTTTAATAGGTTTAAATGTACAAAAGTTTCTTCAGTATTGGGGCTACAGTTTGTTGAAAGTTGTGAAGTTGTAGCACGTATGGTTGATTTGTTATGAATTTTCAAAGTTTTGAACTTTAGACGCTTGCTGTAGCGCCACCATCAGGACTATTGGCTTGAGTTTACAGCTGAGGATATCTGGCATGAGACTGGACCTTTGTGCAAAGTTTGGATTACCCTAATGATGGCTGGATTCCATTTAGCTACTCCAGTTTCAGTGTCCTGCCGGCTGACTTCCAGACTGACTGAGACATCTCAATGGAACAAAGCTATTATTGATGTTATTGGTAACACCTGTGCTTTTCCTACTGTGACAAGTCAAAATGTCACCTGTGACAACAGTCTATCTTGCCCTGTTTTTTTTCAGAGCAGTAACATTCTCAAGGATGTAATGATATTTTTAACAATTGTGTATTTTTCACTGCTTTTTAAATCAAACCTTTCATTAAATTGTTTATTTGACGACAAAATGGTGAAGCACAGCAGCCAACCCGGTCTTACTCTGAAATCATCAAAATCCAACGCTTGGACAGTGACTTCTGGCATCAGACACTGACAAAGAAAGTCGTCTGTTAACGTCAGCTTAATACGCTGCCGGTCACCCGCATCAGGGGGAAACGCAGCCGGACAAGAATGAAAATTAAGGTAGCGAAAGTCTGAGAACGGCGGGTGGGAGGGGTGGTGGATGAGTCCAGCAAACACCAACTTTCACCCAGGAGAGCAGTGTTATAAAGTCAAGCCCTGTTCTGTTTTTGCTAAACCCAGCCACAGGGCTTTAAGTACTCCAGCGTGGCACAGGATTTCCGGCTTGATGGACATTTCTAGTATTTTTTTTTTTTTTTGTGTGTGTGTGTGTGTGTGTGTGGCAACAACTTGGCATAAGTTAGCATTTAACGAATCATCTTCTGATTTAGGTAGTTCAGTAAGAGCTGAGTGGGGAGGGTCTAAAAACAGCATGCACACACACACACACACGGACAGTCCATGTCCAAAATGTCAATATGTGACGAGGTCGGCGTGAAAATGTGTTGTAGCAGCTCGATCTCATTCCAAGATCATCAAATACCAATACTTTGTCACGACCCTCAGTATGTGAAACTACCACTGAAGGCACCCTTTGGCGTCTCCATGGAACACACCAGGCATTCATCTAACTGCAATGTAAACCCATCCTTGGGAATATAAAACACTCAGAGTAGTATAAAGAGTGAGAGTCCACGTAAGGCAGGCGGGAGGGGAGGTGGATGGGTCAAACAAAGATTACCCAGGACTCCACTGCTCATGCCCCATGTGAAACCAAAAGTCAGTGCTATTTTACGTAAAGTCAATGCTGTTTTAAAATAAACTTCCATCCGTCCATCACGAACTGATGTCACTGACATGAAGCATCTATCCAAACCTAACCAAGTACATTTGTTGTCAAAACCATACCGAGACCGTTTGACAATTTTAACCACGTCACGTCACCAGTTTGACCTTGGCGACAGCTGTGCATCACATACAGACGTTAAAGGCTGTATCCGATGGAGACGCCAAAGGAATTTGATGAGCAGGGATGAGAATCCATTGAGCACAGAGAGCTGAAAACACCTCGATTTGTCCTGGAAATGAACTCTAAAAGATTATATTCTTCATTAAATGCAGTCCTCTTACTTCAAACGTGCTCTCTGTACAAAGACAAAACCTCCCACTCTGTGTGCTGGCAAGTTGAGAAATTAACTTTTCTTGTCCTGCGGCCATGCTGGCTGACGGGACTCCATCTCTATTCAATATTTCTCCTGTCCAAACTTATTTTTAGCAAACAACAATCCAAACAATAGTTAGCTCCCTCAGCCAACATGGACCAGCATTTAGCTTATTGGCTGGTGGCAATTTCCCACATACTGGCTGTCCACCAGAATGTGAGCCTCACAGAAGAGCAGGGAAATAGAGAACAGCAGTTGATTGTTTTTTTTTTCCTTCCATCCTCCATTCAGTCATCAGTTCAGTTCTCTTTGGGTCTGTCACATGCTTACTTTAACAACTTTCTCTTTTCCATCCTCCTTTCCAGTTCCCTTCCTTTTCCCCTCCTCCTTCCTCTGTCCTCTTTCTGTCTTTAACTTTCCTTATTTACCATCTTTGTTCCCCCCGTTTCACTGATCCACTCTTCATCCTCATGCTGCTTCTTCCCTTCTTTCATCCTTTCCTCCCTGCTCCTAAATTCCTCCAACCATCCACTGATTCGTTACACACATCAGTCCTCACATTCATCACGGTCGGCTGTGCTGATAAAAGGATTTCCCACCTTAGGTTGCACCAGTCGTGTCATGTCAGATCTGTTCAAATCAGCGAAGGAGGATTAGGGAGAAGAAAGTGTTTAAAAGTTTCCCACAAAAACAGTTTCATACATTAAGACAGGCTGCTGATATCAGATGGACGAGGAGCGGAAGGTGCCCTTGGATTCAGTTTGGTCCAATTAAAAGTACCACGGTAGCCACGCCCACGCCATGTCTCCCTGCAGTTTTTATGGGTGTGTGGTCGAGAATGAGGCTGTTGAACTCATGATGGTCAATTCAGATAATTAGAATCACGTTCTCACACTCCATTAGTGTTGCAAATGTCCATTTGTCAAACCTCTGTCTTACACACACACGCTCTCCGTCTCTCCAGGACCCCCTTGGCACCGCAACGGCAATTACAGAGAGGCTTTGGTCATTAGACACCCACAAACCACACAGGCAGATACAGAAATAGACTCACACACACACACTGTGGGTTATTGAAGGTACGCAGTCACATAACTGACACTTGATTACACATGCACGTTCTCTTAAAGGGTAAGTTGCCTTTTCCAGTACAATACACCTGACATCAATACACCTAGCTGTGATGCACTTCAACCCACAGAAGCCAGTGCAGCCTTTTTTTTTCTTCCTTCAAACTCCTATGTGGACTATTTTCATTAATACAGCTCTTCATAAGCTGTATAATGGCTCATGTTTCACTTGCACTACATGTGCATACATCGGCACAGATATGCATTAGGCCCAGCCACCTCCCCCAAATAGCAGGACACATAGGCCTCTAGTTTCCCGGCGTGGCGCAGGGTGGCGAACCCCGCTCAAAGCTAGTTTCGAGCAGCGCAATCCGAGGCGTGCTCAGTTTGGTAGTTTGGCCGAAGTGCGCTGAGATGGGTGTGGCGGCGCAGCAGGGGGATGTGCTGACAGATCCAGCTTGGCGCAGTGACAGTTTCGTGCCAAAAGGCTTCGCCAAAGGTGCGCTAAAAGCTCGCCAGCTGAAACCAGGTCTACTGTCAGCACAGCCGGTGTAAGCCGAAGTTTGGCTGACCGGCGGACAGTGCGCACACCAAAACCAAAACCTCACAGGCAGGTTTCCAGAATGTCAGACACATTAACGATGCAATAAATACCCACAAAAACCACTATTCAATGCAACTATCTGCAATCAGCACATAAATGTATCTCTATATCGACTGTCCCGTCACATCTGATGTCAGATCAAAGGGGATTGGCACCGTTTGGCACGTTTGACACGCGTAATGGAAACCCAACCTGATTTGATTAACACAGCTGCAAACTAATGAGTTCACATCCCTCTCAGCCAACCACAAACAGCCACAGCATCAGATAGGGAGTATATATTCAGCATCTGTCATCTTAGAAAAGTCAAAAGAAAAGAAACAGAGTGAGACTGCGAGAGAGAAAGAGAGAGTGCACGCGCACGAGAGAAACGCAACATTGATTTACAATTGTGGTGACCTCCTCCCAGGCTACCTTTCCATCATCAGCCCGTGGAGGTCTGCTCGCAGTTCCGTATATTCGGACACTGCGAGCTTGGACCTCCCGGACCAAAACATCAGTTTCCTCCTGGGAGAAGTTTGGCCGTCTGACGCTGCTGCTCTCTTCTGCCATGGCGAATTGAGTAAACTCTCATTACACCTTCGCGCGGCGCATTTAAGGGCGAGGAGAGGGGCTCATTTGATTGGTGTGATGTGTGTAAAACCCACTCCACACCTTCTCTCCTCCCTCTTTCCGACTTGCACAGGTAGGAGGGACGGAGGTGGGAAAGAGGAGTAGCTGCGCCAGGGCGCACGGTGTGCCAAATTTGCAAAATCCGCCTGGCCACACCCAGTTGGCGAAGCGCAGGTGTGCTGCGTCCCTGCCTCGCCCGGTCTGCGAAACTAGAGGCCATAGACTTCATGGTGGTTTTGCATCGCTTTATAGTTGTTATGCAACTTTTTATGTCTCTTTTAGGAAAGTCTGTGTGTTTTTTGGTGTATTTTGTGTCTCCTTGTGGTTGTTTCATGTCTCTTTGTGGTCATTTTAAGTATCTTCCTGGTCAGTATGTGAGAATTTGAGTAATATTCTGAGGGTGAAGGCCAAAGGGCCACCTGACACTGTCGGCCCGGTAGGCCCATTCAGTAATTCAGTAATGTATGTATAACTACAGAGATCGTTTATAGGGCTTTGGGCACTGCAGGAACACAGGTGACCAACACTCAGTGCTGCACCTGAACGCATCCCATGTGAACAATGACGTAGGACTGAAACTGTTGCTGCTGCTCTGCTTACGTGCTGCTTTTTGCTACACAGACTTTGTGTGGACGTCGTGTTAGCATCACTGATTCTTTTTCTGCAAGGCTGTGTGCAGAGTGCGGTGCAGAGCATGTAGAAAGTATGAAATCAGTAAGAGAAAACAAAGAGAAAAGTAAAAAAAATCAAACAGCAGTTTAAATCACTGGAGTATCTGTCGGTAAAAATGTAATTACTTAAAAATAGCAAGTCTTACCTTGGCTTGTTTCATCTTTATGTACTTTTGTCCATCACTAGTGCAAAATCACACTCACAGCTTTACACACACATGAAGATCATCCAGCCACACATACACACACACACATGCACACACAAGTTCTCCCAGTGGCTCACACTGTCTGCCCCTTGTGGTGAAAGATTTGTTCAACAGCAGCTGTCTGAAGAAGTCAACTGAGACTCTGCTTTAAAAGTGTTCCAGGTCATTTGATGGCGATGCCTCCCAGAGGTGCCTGGTAATGGCTCCTGTACCTTTTTTTATGGCTGGAGAGCTCCTCCTCTCCTTGGCCAGTGAGACGGTCAGCCCTGTACGAGCCCCGGGAGGCCGGTGGGGAGGAGAGGGCAGAGAGATGGGATTCATGCAGCAGTGGTTCGCGTCTGTGCAGAGGGAGAAAGGCAGTTTTTTCCAATCAATGTGGGGTTGAAGAGAGTAAAACGAGTGGATGAGTAGCTGTGTGAGTGTGTGTGTTTGTGGCGGTGTGGCAGAAGGAATTTTCTGGTGTTTTGCTCTCTTTTTATTCCTCGAGAGACAAGAGGAATGACCTGGGAATCAGCACACAGCAAACTTTTTCATGCTTTTTTGTTGTAATGCTCGGCCTTTGGCAGGACAGGGATTTCAGATGTACTTGGGTTGGGCCGAGGTGCCCTTGAGCAAGGCACCGATCCCCCCAACCGCTCGGGGCGCCTCACCAAGGGCAGCCCCCTCACTCTGACATCTCTCCACTTTGTGCATGTATAGGTCCTGTTTGTGCATGTGTGTGTCTTTCGGACCTGTGTGTTAATGACAAGCAAGAGTGAAAACATTGAATTTCCCCTCAGGGTGATTAATAAAGTAAATAAACTTAAACTTAAACTAAACCCTTTATCTCGAAGGCCTCATTTACACCACAAGCGATGTGTTCGCAAAGCAGCGCGACTTGAGCAGCATGTAGAACGGATGCGTTGTGAAAGCTCTAACCTGTTAAAGGGAAATTTTGGTTTATTTCAACCTGTCTCCTGTCTGGGCTTTATCTAGAGCTCGCGAGATATATTTCGGCCGCGCTTTGGAAAGCAGAGCTAAATGGTAAACAAACATGGCAGCACACCGGTAAGGTAAGACAACATGTTTACATGTCGTTTTCTATATGTTCTCTGACATTTATCCTAACGATATGAGGCAGTCTTTGTGGAAAAAAAGCTTGTTTAGTGGACTAACTTTGCACTTGAAGGTTGCCCGTTCACTTACGTTTTAACAGGTCTGATGCTACTATGCGCCCCGGCTGTATCTAGGCTAACGGCTAACATGCTAACTATTATTTTTATGTCACTAGTCACTTGAAACAAATTTAGGACGATAGGAGACAGGTTGAAATAAACCGAAATTTCCCTTTAACGTGCTGGCTAAAATGAAAACGCGAGTAAACAGTTCACGATGCGTTCGCGAGTGCTACGTGAACGCATCACTTGCACTGTAAATGAGGCCTAAGGCCCAGCCACCCTTCTGAGGAAACCAATTTCAGCCACTTGTATCCGCAACTTCATTCTTTCGGTCATTACCCATAGCTCATGACCATAGGTGAGGGTTGGGACGTAGATGGACCAGTACATTGAAAGCTTCACCTTCTGGCTCAGTTCTCTCTTCACCACAACAGTCCGGTACAGCACCCGCATCACTGTAGACGCCGCGTCAAACTGCTGATTCATCTCACACTCCATTCTACCCTCACTTGTGAACAAGACCCCTAATATATACTTTCAACATATTGTACCACAGTAGCCAGAACTATAACGATAATATTATTACTTTCATTAATGTTGTTGTAAGCTACTGTCATTACCGTCTTTCCTGCATCTCTCTCTCTCTCTCTCTGTCTCATTGTGTCATATGGATTACTGTTAATTTATTATGCTGATCTGTTCTGTACGACATCTATTGCACGTCTGTCCGTCCTGGAAGAGGGATCCCTCCTCAGTTGCTCTTCCTGAGGTTTCTACCGTTTTTTTTTCCCCATTAAAGGGTTTTTTTGGGGAGTTTTTCCTGATCAGCTGTGAGGGTCTTAAGGACAGAGGGATGTCGTATGCTGTAAAGCCCTGTGAGGCAAATTGTGATTTGTGATATTGGGCTTTATAAATAAAATTGATTGACTGATTGATTGATTGAATGTCATGGGGAAATCTGTCACCACTTGGGATCCTTGATTTGCAATCAAAGCAGCTCAGATTATTATGGCATGGATTCAAATGTAGTAGATTTTTCAGCTAAACATTCACACACTTTGAAAGCTACTTCTTCTACTTCACATTGTGTAACAACTGTTTTGGATATGTTCTGGAGTTTGAATATATCAGTATCGGACATTTGCCTCTTTTTAGGTGGCATTAGTTAAAATGAGTCATCTGTTAAGAATCATGAAGACAGTTGGAGAATAATTAAGTACAAAATAAATAGGATGTAAGCTCAACAGGATGATATTTTGCTTTGGCAACTCATGTTTTTCCTACATTATGTACAGATTTTTAGGCATCCTATTATCTCAAATGGCTTGACCCCCCTAGGTTTTGGTTGAGCCCCGAATGTTGACAAGGTCTGGTTCCGCCCATGTTCAAGCTGATGACCTTTATTGTAGGTGACAATCATAGAGATCTGCAGATATGATGCCAAACAGATGCATTCTGGGCGACATTTCTTGTGAACATCACTTTTCCGTACATTACTGTTCACACTGCGAGCTGCAAGTCCAACACATGACCTTTATCATTCACTCCACTTACTCAGCTATTCTGTCACTGTGCACTGAATGTCAAAAAAGAGCTGGAATACGCTGCAAGTACGGATGGAAAAAATCTCTAATATGCAAGATCTGATGTCTGAGGAATTGGATAGATGCTGCTACTGAGTGTGACTTTCAATGACCGCTTAACATTCTGTGCAACTGACTCCGTGGAGTGCTAAGGTGTTATGAGCCACTGACACTATTTGTGTGAGTCCAATCCTGTGAGTTAGAAGTTCTGGGAAGAAAAACAAAAGCTAAGCCAAAGAGAGGGGGTGAGGAGATTTGCTTTGAGAGCAATTAGAGTGAAGAGATGAGAAGAGACACATGATTCAGCGGGGGTTAGCCGAGGTAAAGATGACAGGGAAAAAGATGAGTTTTTAGTCTATAAGGGAAGAAAATTGGAATAAAAAGAATGAAGAGGATCATAACTGTAACGAGGTCAAACATACTGTACATTATGTGGGGCTGTGATGTGAATGGAAGAGACAGAACATGCAGATGCAGACGTTTATTAAGGAATGACACGGGAGATTTTAGGGAGATTGAAGATGAGTTAAGCTTTAGCTGGTTTTCTGCCAGAAGTTACACATCCTGACCATCGACAGAATGGTCCTGTCCAGCTGGCCTCAGTCCAAGCACCTTAATTCACCGTCAGCCAACAAGAAACTACTTAACTTAGACTTGTCCTTTAAACAGCAAGTGGATAACATGTCCAAAGTCACAATAATTCAACCCAGAAGTCCAGACTTTAACCTAATATGTCTTACTCTCTGAACCCATTGTAACTGAAACTGTGTTACTGTGTCCCACATGAGCTCTGCTCTTGATGTTGCCCCCTTTTCCCAATCTCATTAGTTTTTCTCTTCCTGTACCCCAGATCTCTCTGGATGCTCGTAGGATTCGCCTGATGCGGCTGCCTGAGGGGAAGGCCTCCACCAGCTCCTCATCCTCTGGGACCAGGCAGACTGTCTACGAGGTTTGCGTTTGTCCCAACGGGAGGCTTTTCCTGTCCCAGGCCGGCACCGGATCCACCTGCCAGATCAGCAACAATGTCTGCCTCTAGGACTGATACATACAATTATAAATAAATACACAGATAGCCTGAAAGAAAGACGGGCAAAGACAGACAGATGTACACATATCGCCTGCCTCCTGGACAGCAGACACAGACACTACATACAAAGACTGCCAGAGCTGATGGAAATTTAAACAATCATAGATACTGTAACTATACAGACACACTGATGAGTACACTTTACAATCACAAACACTCAGACTGATATTTAGGCTCAACCGATATGTTTTAAAGGCCAATACGGAAAATTTTGGATCCTGGCTGCTGACAGCTGATCTTTTGTGCCAATATTTCAATGCTTAAAGATATTTTCTCCCTCAATTTTATACGTTTCAGAGTGGAAAAGCCTTTGAGATCAGCATCTAGAGCATCACGGGTTACTAAAACTCTCCATTGAGTGTCATACACATCTCTCAAAACTCTTTATACATACCATACAGCAGGAGTTGTTAGGCTTTTAAACTGAACTACATGAATAAAACAAAACAAAAAAAAAAGTCTTTCATTGCAGGTTTCAGCATTTTTTTAATATAACTAAGGTCAGAGAGGAATCTCAGTCATACTGGAAATATAGGTTACTGACCACTGATACACTGGTATTTAATGAAATGACAGTATTGGTAATGTATCGGTCTGACCCTATTTATTAATTGCGTACACACATACAGATGCACACACTCGCTTACAGACATGCATTCACACAGTATACATATTTTGACATGGAGTACACTCACACACACACTCACACTCTTTGCTCGTAGGAGCCTCCTGGTAGAAACTGAGAGGGAAATTCTCCAGAGATTTACAAGAAGAGACACTTATCTGTTCCCTTTCTCCCTGAAGAGCATTTCAGTACCAGAATCACTAGGGTGATCACCCATGGCAACAAACCCCTTCCACTCCCCTTCCCTCTGTTCCCCTTTTCCCTCATCTTCTCTTCTTCCTCTCCGACGGTTACCACAGCTGAGATAATTAAAAGATTTATACTTTCCTTTACTGTTGTTCATAAAGCATTTTAAAGCCTCATAGGCACGCTATAAGCACTTAATTACGACTACTCCTAATATGCATTGTGTCAGGACTTGGCATGGATGTATTAGAAGAACTGGATACCCGAATCTAAAATGGCACCCATTCATTTGAATGAAAATTGCTTGGCCACAAGCCAAAAAAGGTTTCTAGCTTATGTGTCTGCTCAGCCAGTGCACTTTGTATTGGATGAAGTCACTCACAGTGATAGCGCTTTCTAGAATCTAGGAAAGTTTTACCATTATAACACCCTCTCGGATTGAAATCGTAATGCGAGTGGCCTCTGGGACAAATCAACAAAAAGACTGGCAGGCGGCAACGTATCCAGCTCTCTCAATACATCCACAGGACTCGGATGGTTCCTAGGGTAGACGTTTTACAAACTGCCCTTTCAGTCAAAACCACTGACTGTTTATAATGATGGACCAAGCACCTCCACCTCCTCCCACTGTACAGAGATTAAGCCAAAATATCCCGGATGTAGACGCTTCCATCTTGCGCTGGTGATGTCATTCAGAGCCAGAAAAATGAATACTTGAACATAAGAACTGATAAGATAAGAACTACCTAAAATGACAAAACTTTGGTGTATATTTTGATTTGTTTAGTTCAGCCAATGTCCCATCAGCTAACATGGAGGGGGCGGGCTTTATGACCTGTACTGCAGCCAGCCACCAGGTGCCAATGGAGATGTTTTGGCTTCACTTTTGGGGAGCCGTCATGTTGTCCATCTTTATTGAAAAAATGATGGTCAAAACTCATACCACATCCAGAAATGTCCATTGATATGTGTGTAAAAATGCATTAAGTGCTGTTAGTTTGCCTATGTGACAATGCATAAACATCATTAGGGTTTTGTGGGAAAGTGGAAAAGTTGATGCTTTTGAACAACCAAACTTTTAAATTATTGGACCAAAGTTGATTTCAGTTCAAAAGGCAGAATTGACATTGCAATGAGGTTGACACAAGTAAATTAAGTCACAAAATATTCAGCCCATTTGGCCTTTGGTAGAATCTGTCCAAAGTGTATCATGACAAACTATGACTCATGCCATGTTCACGTCCTATCATGTGCACCCAACTGGGAATAATTATGCAAATCAGCTTCAAAGTGCTGAAACAATTTATTCATTGGACTTATTTATTTCGAGTGTGTTAACAACAACTATCTTGCGAACTCAGATTTTGACATTTGAACATGGTAATCATGTGGTGGCAGAGAGACATTGCCCAGTTGTAACCGTTCATGTGATATGATGTGAACATGGCACAAGTGCTGCCACACAAACCTCAACTACTAAACCACTGATCTGTTGGGTTTTTTAATTTGATGTAATCTTTTGACTTTGAAGTGAATAGAAAGTTGTTTTAATTAAATAATTGTCAGTGTTCTGTTTTGCCTACATAAACTCTGTCCACGTCTCTTCCTGTCTCTCTAAAAACAGCTCAACATCCTGTTGTAACTCTTAACTTTTTAATCACACAAAACAGAACCCATGTCATAAATGTCTGATGTAAGCTGCCCCAACCTCTGCCATGGTCACCTTACTTGTTTCTTGCACTGGGACAATTTTTAAAAAAAGGGACAAACAAACTAATGCGAGCCACTCTGTTGAAAGAGGGGAACTGTGCCTGTGCCTTATGTCGATGCACTTGTGGCAAGAAGAAGCACATCACACAGACTTTCTTTGGCATCAACGAGTAACATGATCTCTGATTTCAGTTCAGTTTCATCCCGATTCACAAATCTCTCCCTCTGTGTGAATGCAAAGACCTTCAGCCACATCTACCTGTAGCTCCCCCTGCTGTCAGCACCTGACTCTGCAAAAGGATGAGTTGTTTTTCTGTTTGCATTGACCACTTTAGTTTCCCCAAGCTTGGGATGATGGTCTTGTTACTTTGCTTTTTGTGAAAACATGTATGTTTCTGTAACAAACACGTGATCCTGTGGAATTTAAGAGAAAGATCACGGCACTGATGGGTCTGATTATCTCTACATATCCCAGACCACTTGGCCAAAAAGACCTCCTTTCTCCAACATGTTAAGATCTTGATGTCCTTGCACACTTGTTTTTTTTTTATCTTAACAGACTCAAATCTGGGGTCTTAAGATGGTAAAAGCATGTTCATGTGTAATATATGAACTCCTGTGTTTTGGGTGCAGACCACTTTGGCAAAACCACTTTGTCTTTTCTTGTATTTTCATGCAACACCATAAAACTGTATTACTGCTTCCTTGCTCTGTTCAAACCCCACTATAATCATCACTAATAGTACCACTTTAGTATAGTTGCCATGCGCAGATGTTCTAGAAAGTGACACTTATTGGGGAAATGCTGTAGATGTTAAAAAGTGGTTATCATTGCAACATGATCTCACCCCTACTCGTCAAATTTTGATGCTTGTTGCAGAAGCCCCTAGCAACACTACAACCACCTTAGACCCTGTGTCCTCAAATGTGGACATTGCATTTTGGGTTTACTCGACGTTGTCCTGCATTCCACTTAACTTAGACCTGTTGTCCTCGTTTGTGGACATTTTTTGTGCCATCTAGTGGTAGAAAGACCACAATACACTAATCCATGTAAAAACAAGATGGCAGCCATCTCTGCCAAGTCAGTCTGCAGCCAATCCCAACACAAAAATTGACAAGGTCCAAAACCTGATCACATTTTATGGTTGAAACGTCTTTATTTATGATTAATAATGTTTGTAATTTGATATGGCAACAAATTTGACCAATTTTAGCAACAGTAACAAGCTAAGACACTGCTAATTAGGAAGTACTCATCTAAAGAGGTTGGAACTTTATTGTCGTCTCATGTTTAGTTTTAGTAATCTTTATTTCAAACATGCAAACAAATGAATAAATAAATAGCAGAAGAAAACAAAACAAAAACAGTATTTGTAACAAGAACAAGTGTAAAGCCACTGAATTAGAAAAATAATCTATAAATAAATAAATAATAATAATACAAAAGCAAGCAAT